ACATCGCTATTGTTTTCGCACTTTGATGCATATTGGGCAACGCCACTTGCCATCTTTGACTAGCACTAACCCAACGTGAACGCAGAAGCTGGGGGCATTGGTTGCAGTATTGGCATATTAATCGGTTCACCACACTTGCCTAAAACAAAAGATATTTAGGTCAAATCCAGTCAGACAATCCAGTCATTTTTTAGGAAGGCGCAGTCGGGTGACTAAGCGGTAACTCTCTCTATGTCGAGACGAGCAAAGAAAAACGACTGGAGTGAGCATTTATTGTTTAGTCTAGCCCAGACGACCATTTGGCTACGCGACGCCGAAATCAACAGAAAGCGGATGAGCTTTTGTGATGCATAATAGTTAGCCAGCTAGTTAGCATGGTTAGCTAGCCGGTTAGCCACAACGAGACACAATCAACGCATCTGTGCGTCCTCAATCAAAACAACCGGCTAAAATGTCCTTCAAAGCACCACCAGTCCCTCAAATAAAGTCACAGCAACAGTCAGAGTTGTGTAGTCTGAAATAAGCCGCACTTGGAGTCAATATATTTCCACATTTGATGCGTTACGACCGATGTAAGATAACGTTTAGCTTGTTGCCTAATGTTGCTACCGAGGCAAGCTAACGCTGAAACAGGATCCACGATCCGATGCCATTAACGCGTGTAATTGACTATTTAAACGACAGATCTTCGTGGGAAGTTGAGGGGGGGGGGGCAAAAACATATCAAAATGAAACACATAAATACATAAGAGAATATAAATAGCCGATCGGGTTACATTAAAGAGCAAGTTTTTGCTTTTAAAGTCGGGTCAGCGGCTCATTCTCCAATTCCCAGGCTTTGATGACGCTCGTGAAATCAAATCTGTCTGCGAGCGACGCTGGCGCTCTATTTATTGTTCGCTAACTTTAGCTGTAATTACAACCGGATAACGCTTACCAGTACATTCAGCGAGCGAAACATTCCTCGGCGACTGCGCCACATGTGGACTAGAAGATCAAATGGCCCGAGCTAAATTAAAACCGCACGCTTTAAAAGCAGCTGTGTTTATAACAATCGAGCTGCCATGAGCTAGCTAGTTAGCAAGCTGCTAGCTGGCCCCCCGACTGAAAACCCGCATTACGGCCCATGCAACAGAAACAATGATGCTGGGTCTCAGTGCATCTCCCGTACGCGCCGAGACAGACATTTCCGTCGCTTAAATCTCGACAAAGCCGCAGCACTCGCCGCGAATAAAAGCCAATTTAGTTGCCCACTCACCTACACATGACCGCAGTTGGTTTCAAACGTGCCTGTATTCTCTCCGTATTCGCCGCTTTGGGGTTTTATTGCCAAAACATTGTTCTCCGGCGGTCGCTGCTTTCTTCCATCTTGTCTTGGCGCGGGGAGTTATGGGTGCTGCGGACGGGTCGTGAGAGGAGACCTATGGAGGAGACAGGCGAAGGCTGCTGAGGTTTGCGAGAGCCTCACTGAACAACGCGAGTAGCCCCTGTGCTCTATAGTAATGTAAACACACCGGACACATTAACATGAACAGATACTGTAATGAAGAGAGACATGGCGTCATGCAACTCTTTGTCTTTGCTTGTAATCCAGGACACAAGGAAAGATACATTTAGATATCTACTTACATTTTATTTATTTATTTATTTAAAAGGTATTTAGCAAATTACTTACCTGTAATTTTTCGGAGTTACTTTTGTGTTTATTATTATTATTATTATTATTATTATTATTATTATTATCATTATTATTATAGCTTTTTTTGTTTTTCTGGTTTTGCACATTGCGAGTTGATATTGGTATGTTGGTATTATGTGTGTGGATATATATAGTTTATGGACCCCAATGATCCCATTTTAGGCATCCAGTAGCTTATACGACACATATAAAACACCAGTACACACAAGAATATAGGAATAAAAGAATAAAAGCAAGAATTTAGGAGTTAAAACACAGCAGTGAAGTGATAGTCTAGCCACCAGAACTACCTAAGGGACTGTATGTGTGCTATGTAAGGTGATTAAAAAGTAAAAACAGTGCAAGAATAATAATAACAGTGGATAGTATAAAATGCAAATTAAAGCTATTTATATTAACAAATATGAGAGCAGATTGTGCATAAGGCTAACACGGCCAGCTACTGACGGTCCAGTAAATATAAGGTGATTAAAAAGTAAAAACACGGCAATTATAAAGATTACTGTGGAGAATAAGCTTGTTTTGATGAACCTAATGGGAATACTATATTACATTAAATGAAATGCAATGTAGTACATTTTACCCTTTTTCGTAAATTTTAGTAAGAGTAAACCATGGTGACAATTTAGGTTGTATTTTGTATGTATAATTGCATCATTATATGCTTATTTTAATGTTTTTGGTCCCTCTATTCATGGGCTTTTTGTCAAAGTAGAAGCACAGCATGATCATTTACGATATCGCTCTTTGCAAACCAACTGAGACACAGACATGTTTCATAAAATTAGGCATGCATTGATCTGACTTTTATCTCCAGATATCTCAATATCAGGGTATCTGCTGATACTGATCAGGTAACATCAGGTAACATGAGGCTAGGGATTGTGTGATTTAAGTCAATTCAGCAGCCTACCATGACTGAATAGTAGTGGAAACAATGAAAAAGAAACTGTATGTAATGTGGATCAGTCACATCTGGCGGGCTGCACGATGAACTTAATAAGGTCAGTATTTGTGCCGATCCGGTTTATCAGATCGGTGCATTTATACACGAAAATACAGCACTGGATTACCAACTGGGCAAAGCAGACAGCCGTCCTGGATCTCCAGACTGCCAGGGGGACCCAAAAAGCCCCCAGCTTCACAGTGAATTAATTTCAGGGAATTTGATTCATCACAAATATCATCAGGGAATTTGATCCACTGTAGTCATCATCAATTATTGTGATCCTATGTTGTTGTCCTACATTGTAGAAGGTCCCAATGTAAAAATCTACTTTTAAGACCTTAATTATTTTTGTTTATATTGTCCTCTCACTCTGCCTATTCCTAAATTAAAGGTGATGGTGGGGGAAAATAGGGCCCAGTTTTAGCCCAGGGCCCCCTATACAATAATGACAAAATCCATGCAGGAAATAGAGGCTGTAACTCTTTCTGTTTTGTTACCTATTCAGACTATTACAATGGCAAGTCTCTTATTCCTTAGATTGAATAGAGTGTTATAGTTTCACCACAGTGAGAGTGTGAGTTTAAATGTTGAGGCACTACATTTGTAGCTTGGTAGAACTTATTTTGATTTACCAACAATCATTGAGTGCTTTTCTTTTCCCACTGATGCATTTTCATTTGATATTAATATCAGCAAGTATTAATAAAAGTTAAGATACTGTTTGGGAGTTTTATCCAGTTCATACAGCACACTTAACTTTTTTTTCAAGAATCAAAAGCAAAACTTTGGGCAAACATCTCACCTTTAATCATCTAAATGAATACATGTGGTATTCATTATCAACTTGTTATTGACGAGTATGGACTTAATAACTTAGTCACGAGCACATGGCATGTGAGTATTATTTCAAAGCGTTAAAGAGATAATTTGATAAACGATAAATAAAATAAATAAAAATCAGTTCAATGTGACTGTGGTGCATTATATTTGAGCTGACTCATCAGCTCACTCCCCTGTTAGAGATACAAGTATGCAGAGTCATCATACAGTACATCTGTTAGGTGAATCATAGCATATTTCTGATAGAAATGAAAAAAACACTTCAATCTGATGCACCAGTGTCTGTATGGAGGTTGAAAATAACAGATATAACCATTGTGTTACTTTGTGGCCACGGTTCACTTCCCACATCCCGTGCCCTCTGTTCATACATCACCACTGTCATATGTCCAAATCCAAAAACTTAAGCCAGTAAAAGTGTTTTTTTCCCCTATTTTGTTTTCATGGCCTTTCATTTGGTATAAACTCATTGCGTGGGGCGCTTCATTTCCTGCTGCTCTGGGACTAAATCCAACTGGATCTGTCCCTCCTTCTGTACGCCCTATCAGCCTCATATTCTTTTATTTTCATTTTAATTAAAACAACAAGACCAGTAGGCTGTTTTCAGAGTGTGAAATGATAAATTGGCAACCATGAAGCAGCTACAGATGAAATCACAATGTTGTAAAAAAATTCTTCAAGCATTCACGCATGATATTTATCTTGGGGTTTGTGCCATTACCTGCTTTCACAGAAGTATGATACAATGTTATAATTTAAGAAAATACACATAACAGATACGGCGTTGACCACATCACTGCTCTGCAATGTTCCATATTCCAATTTTGTAAATATCTTTGAAAACAAATTGCCATATTAAATTGATAACATTCCCACAGGGCACTGGTTTGGAGCGAGATTACAGACCATCTGTCTGAAACAGTATCACTTCAAACGGGGTATTATAGTGTATAATGCGGTTCATGTCTACAGTTGTAGGCATTATCTCAGGTTCACTTCCACTGCAGTAACACTAGGGGGAACTAAATAGCCACCAATCACCACAAATCATTAGAATAACCAATTTTATTATAGTACAGTGTTCACCTCAAGATAGAGGTAATTAGGCAACAAGAAACACATTTCAAGTCATTTGTAAAAGAATCAAATGAAGACTAAGAAGGCTGCGCACGGCTGATTTCTCTCTTACACTGTTTGCTCGCTCTGATGCTTTCACCTGATTGGGCACAGGCCAAAAACACATTTCCCTCTCTGTAACCCCACATCAGCCCACCCCCCGCCCCCACTTTGAAAGAGAAATTTGCCACCCGTGCTGCAGTTCGTCTACACTCTTTAATTTGAAGTCACTCCTACCAAAGCGTGTTCCCTCAGGTAGAAGTGCTTTATTGAATAACAACACCTCAGTGGATCTACCAAGGACATTGCCTTCGAGCTACTTCAATACAGCGTTTGTTTTAGATCTAATTTTGAATGGGGGTTTTTCTTTTCTTTTCTCCCCTCCATGGATGAGACCTGAGAAAAAAGTTGGCACTTGGCAGGAGACTGCTTTGCGTAAAGGACCGAGTCTGAATCATGTTTTGCGCAGAATCTGTGCTCACTTACGATTAATTTACAGGAGAGAGGCGCATCTCCATCTCACAGGATGCGAGTAGCGCGCTGAATGGTTTTGGGAAAAGGGGGGTACCAAACTTGCGTAAAAGAGCCTGATTTTGCACAAGTACTGATTGCTTGTCACAAGTAAGTTGATTGACACGATGTCAGCCTTACGGAGGAAATTTGGCGAGGACTACCAGGTGGTCAACACCAACCAGGGCATTACTTTTTCCGCACCGGTGAAGAGAAAGAGGCAGCGGTTTGTGGAGAAGAACGGCCGCTGCAACGTCCAGCACGGTAACCTTGGCGGGGAGACCAGCCGGTACATTTCAGATCTCTTCACCACGCTGGTGGATCTGAAGTGGCGCTGGAACCTACTGATCTTTATCCTCACTTACACAGTTGCGTGGCTGGTTATGGCTTCTATGTGGTGGGTGATCGCCTACATCCGCGGCGACCTGAGCCACGGCGGCCACGACAAGTCATACACCCCGTGCGTCGCCAACGTGTACAACTTTCCCTCCGCGTTTCTGTTTTTCATCGAGACCGAGGCGACCATCGGCTACGGCTACCGCTACATCACAGAGAAGTGTCCGGAGGGCATCATCCTATTCCTCTTCCAGTCGCTGCTGGGGTCCATCGTGGACGCCTTTCTCATCGGCTGCATGTTCATCAAGATGTCGCAGCCGAAGAAGCGCGCGGAGACGCTGATGTTCAGCCAGTACGCGGTCATTTCGCAGCGGGACGGGAAGTTGTGCCTCATGTTCCGAGTGGGGAACCTTCGGAACAGCCATATGGTGTCCGCGCAGATCAGGTGCAAACTCATCAAGGTAGGCTACAGGTTATACAGCGGAGGTGCGCAATATAGCCTATCCAAAATCACCACGCGAGTATATAGGCACACTTTGGCGCAGTGAGCTTATGCCTCTTGCTCCATCTCGAGTCTTAAAATGCCATTATCAAGGCTGAGACTAATTGACAGCCCTTTAATTTGTTTTGAAATTGCCCATTATGTTTTATGAGTGCTTTCCAAGTCATGCATTGCATTTCCATTCATCTCAAGAATTGATTGCATTCCCTGGGGGTCTCTGTGATTTGCAGAGGCTATGGTTTTCTAGCTTGAGGCTCCAACATAAGATGTATTTTAATGAGTGACCATTTACATTCCGCCCCCTGTAGCAACTGCTTCAGTCCAGGATTTGTCCTCAGCAGTCTTGTGTTGTAGCCATCCTCCGATCCGTCTGAGCTGCAGAGTGTGTTTCATTGGTACAGTCAGGGTCCTCACTAACTCTCAGTCATGGGTCGTATCTTAAGTTCAGCCTCTGCTTCAACTGTCCGCATATGAGATGAATGGGTCCCCAGGGGACGATAGGTGTAGAAGCCACGCTGATTGATTGAGGGATCAATTGCATCAAATCCTATATTCTTGCCTTAAGGCAAAATGCCACTAATCTGAAGCACTTGGAGCAGACAGTGATGAAGTATGAAGTTGGTTTCAGGGCTGAAAAACCAAATTAAAAGGACTGAATTTACCAAATCACACCTAGGGCACTACTTTGGTTTAACTTTCTCAAATTGTCTCAAATTTGTGCAGAAAAAGCCATGCACCACAATTCATCACATGTAATTAAATGTTTTGACTGCTGTGTGTTTTATGTACAACCCGAGCATTCTCTCACAGTAGCAGGCATGTCTTATAGATGAGATCTACTTTATTCCAGTCCAAACATTAGTCGATATCTAAAGGAGAGCTGTGCTTTGTTGTGACATGGAGAGTTGGTTGTGCTTTTGTCGTCCCTTCGGAGAAGCGTGATGATCTTAAGTGACACTTTACTTTCTGAACCTAGAGAGAGAGAGAGAGAAAGAGAGAGCCCACAGTATGTTAGTATCACCATTAGTACATTTATATGGTTATACTTAATGCCTTGTGTTGCGCAAAGGCACATCATTTCATTTAAAATAATGTTTTCGCTTCAGTCATTTATCATTTGATTAGAGTACAAAAAACAGAAATGGTATCCATTATTGAAATAAAAGTCACTCAGTTTAACACATTAAAAGCCACGATTCAATACTTATTACCACTAATGTTTCAGCTCTCTCTGGAATGAGTTTTATTTAATTTCATCATCGTTTACTCTTTAATTAACAGCCTAGAAAGGCAAAGAGAAATATGGTGTGTTAATTACAATGAATCAACACAGCATCATGGAGGCATAAGTGCTATATCATCAACTTATCTCCTTATACAGAGGCTGATAGTTCCACTGAGATAGTTTAATATTCTGTTATAGTTGTCTATGATGCTTTAGTCAGAATCAAACAGAATTAAAGCAGTAGGATAGACACCCATGGGGCCCGATGTCATGTTTGACCTTGGTTAGATTTGTGGAGTGTGCCATATTTGGTAGAATTACCTCCCTTTATGAAGCCACTGCAGATTTCTTATTAAAGACGGATTGTTGGGATACATTAAGATGATGGTCTTTGTTTGAGGCCCAGTGGAAGGGTGTCACACTTAGTAGTTTGAGCAGTTCTGATTGACAACAGTAAAAGCAGAACAAGCTGCAAAACTGCTGCAGTACTGTTGCAGAGTATATACATTATGGAGAACCAGTGCTTCAGCTACACTGTGCCTTCCTCAATTTTACCTTTACCTCTAAGGTCTTTTTAAAGCGAGTAAACCTGCCTGAGTGTAATATAATTACTGCAAGGGGGAACGTTTGCAGTTTAAGTTGTTTTCACCCAAAACATTTTTCCAGATTTTTTTGGTTAACAGTCCTTGGCTCTCTCTCAATGATCAGTTTGATAAGATTTATGTGATGATCCTGATCTTGGATTTCTGCCAGTAAATGATGATATTTTTAAATGAACATTCAATTTTCTTTTAAGCCACAGCTATTCATGTGTTCGTGGAAGGTCAGGCATCCAGGTCTTTCCTGTTTATCCACCAGAAAGCATCACATTCACGTGCCATCAATCATGCCCACAGGACAAACAGTAAACAATCAAAATCTGAGTTCTAAGTTCACTTTTATCCAGGGCAGTTTCATTATGTTTAATGGATTTTCTTGGACAGTGGTTGGGACAATATCTTGAAACAGATTTAGTGATTTCTTTATTTTCAGATCAAGCCTCTATTTTCTTTCGATTCCAGATTAAATCTGTTATTAAGGCTACAGAGTGCCGGATACCACTGTAGGACTGCTGCAGTGTTCTAATGTGTCTTTTAATGTATTTTAACGGACACAGTGATGTTTTATAGCCCATAAAGCTACTCTGTTGTGTTGTACAGCAGGGGTATTGTAGAGTAAATGGACTCTACATCACCCCGTAGTACTATACATGCACTGTGGAAACAATGCCATGGCTTGTGTTCAGGTAACACGCAGCTCAAGGTCACTGTGAGATGGGTTGCACACAAAGCTGACTGGAGCAATGAGACATGCTGCAGTAAATCCTGATGATGGAGCTGTGTAAACGCACTGTGACATGGCAACTGCAATCAAGTGTATATTGGGTTGTAAATTCTTATGGGACATGGCTACTCTGGATTTTAAAAAATGAAGTTATTATGCAGGACTGCATCTTATAATTTTTGCACGTTTGTTAAAACAGCATCTCAGCATGTTTGTTTGCTTAAAATAGATAAGCATATTTTAGTGAAGCATATTTTGGTGCAGTATTTGAACTCTTTTCAACTTCATTGTGTTCACAATTAGTTCCAGGAAGCAGTGCAGTTTACTCAAACTGACAACAACTCAATTCCAATTATAAAAAGAAGATAGAAGCAATATTTTAGATTTGTTCCCAGTGAGATATAATTGAGTTTATATAGTCACTTTGCTGTTGCTGCTGTATAAATAATGTTTAGTTACATATTCAAAATATAAAGTCTAATCCTGTTCAGGACATCCTTCTTGCTAATGTCTGGGTGTAATGTGAAAAACTACAAACTGTGAGTTTTAAAGAAACTAAATACTGTGCAATGCATAGTTTTTAGTCAAATAATTTCAATTTTTCACCCCCAACCACAACCAAAGCACCTAAACCCTCCGGATGGCTGGGCAGAGTCAGCTAACGCTATGGGCGGCTAGCTGCACAGCTCACTGAGGTAATGGCAGCTAACGTTACAGTGAGCAGTAGTCAGGGCAGTTTGTGTGATAGCAGTTCTGGCACATCCCTGTCCCTGTACTTCAGGAGTGTGCCGTGCCTGGAGCAGCATCTAAAGGAATCCATGACAAGCCGATGTTGGCGTAAAGAAGAAAAAAACATTTTGCTCACAGGGGTTACTTTTACATACGTTCACCACATTATTTGAAACTTTATATGATAAGCTTAATAGTCCACACTTGATGTGGAAACACTGAACTCTCTTGGGTGATATAACAACCATATACGTGTTTGTTATGGCCATCAGTTTTGATTATTTCATCTTCAGTTCTGAGAAATCATGTTTTATTGGTCTATGTACTCCAATAACCATGAGCCTCAGCCACCGTTATTATGATTATTCATTATGCAATGTTTCTTGCAGAAATTCCCCTTGGGAATTGTACCCAAAGTTTTTATGTAGCCCACAGGGGCTTGTACCTTCAACCTTTTCAAAGACCCATTTATTTTCTAACACCGTTGTTAATATTTTGTAAGATTATCTACAGACAAAATGAAAGGGACCGAAATAGCTGCTCCCACTTCGCAATTTTACATAGTGAGTTCAAGTGATGTGGGAGCTTTTGGTTCTTTACAATAACAATTTTTGGAGTGCATTCTTATAATTGATATCTCCTTGAAAATATATATATATATTTTTTTTTAATTAATAATGACTGTATTTCATCATAGATACTATACTTATTGCAGGTCACTGAGTTGCAAGAGCCTTCACTTCAGTTTGTGTCTAATAACAAATTTAAGACACAAATTAAAAACAGTTTTTCTTGGCAGGACTGTGCATTTCTTCTATATACATAATGCATATTAACTTAACTGAATTTCCATTAATATTTATGCAGCTTTCATTAATAAATTAATAGAACGCAGTGGTAGAGTGACCCCTGCAGCACTGACAGGATATGATTTTTCAAAATGAAGAAACATGCTTGCATCTGGTTTGCCAGCAATGCATGGAGGACAGATATTCATCCTAGCAAGAGAAAAGTACTCACACAAGAGAGAAACGAGCAGTAAACAGCAATTTTGGCATACAAAAAGACAGAGGGAGAGAGTGACAGATGGGCGGTGCTTGTCAATGTCAACAAAAGCTTGTCTCAGTAAGTTAGTCCACAGCAAGAGATAAATGATAAGGGCTAGTAGTAGCAGATAGACAGGCCTGGATGCAGGCGTTTAGCTAGACAGACAGGGAGACATGTCAGCATGACTCCCCACATCTGCCACTGTCTAACTCTGAAGGACAAGCAGAAAGAGGAAGAGAAAGAGAGAAGAAGAAACAAAAAAGGCAGTGCTGTCGAGGGACTGGCAATGGCAGCTCAAATGTGACGTCTGTATGAGCATATGTTTGATGTCCAGCCCAAAGCTCAAAGGATCCAGCTGGACACACATGGACATATGCACACGCAAATGCATGAAACGCACACACATTTCTAACTTTCACTGTTTGTGTTTCTGTGCATCTCTCTCTCACACACACTCACTGTCATTAAAGAGGAAGTGTGTCACCAGGGATAGGGCCTGCTTTCACTCAACATGAATCTCAGGTGGCTTAGTAAATTAAGCACTCCCTCCATATCAGGTCCTCTTCCAAAGGCCATTAATTTCCCCCTTGTGGCACTGACTGTTTAGTGGCAGTAAGAGAACACACAAGGCTTTCACCTTGTTAAAACCATTCAGTGTCAGGCAGGTTGCTCCTTCCTTGGCAGAGGTATAATTTTGTTGCAACACTATGCTGTTAGTCAATAGAGCTATGAACAGTATCTCAAAAAACTAGCAGCTTCACTTTCATAACTAGAATGGCTTAAATATGACTTCCCAGGAAATTGGTTTCCAGTCTCATTGACTTGTATGAACATCGCTGACAAATGGGACACCTGCATGCAGTATCTCAATGACAATTTACATTTTTAAACGATATAAATAAATTAATATATAAACATGACAGGCTTTTTGAAATCATGTCATGTGCTCCTCTCACTTATAGAAGATGAAGGATTTTGTCCCCCAAGAGCATCAATGTGGAAAAATCCATTGTAAAAGTATTACACTTCAAAATTGTGGACAGAAGGTGAATTAATTAAGACTTAGGTAGAGGCAGAAACTAACACACTGAGTTGCACTGCACGTAATGTACAATTAAAGTATAGTACATACAGTATACAGTATAAAGTAAAGGGAAATTAGCAAATCTGTTCCTAATACAGATATTTCACATATGAACATAAGACAGAAAAATAAACAATTCTCTGCTGAAAGTGACTTATGTGTATTTTAAGGAACAGTTTGGGAAATATGGTAAGATTTATACCAATTAATGTTAAATATAAGGCCACAGCCAGCAGCTGGTTAACATAGCTAAGCATAAAGATAAAAAAACAGCCTGGTTCTGGTGTATTTAACAAGATACAGTATTTGATTTTGTTACCTTTGGAGAGAGCCAGGGTAGCTGTTTGCCAGTTTCCAGTCTTAATGCTAAGCTATGCTGGCTGCTGGCTGCATATTTAGCGTACAGACATGAAAGTGGTGTCAATCTTCTCATTGAATTTTCAGCAAAAAAGGGAATAAGTAAATTTCTCAAGATGTCAAATAATTTTTTCATCTCTAAGTGGCTTCAGATCAAAAACAGCCCTGCATTGGAGTGGGCTTGTTGTTTAAGGTGCTGGGGAGAAACACGGGCCAGCCTTCGCTCCCCACGTGCATCAATGAGCCTTGACCGCCCTGTCGCCGGTTCACCGCTTTTCTTTCTTTCCTTCCACTTTTCAAAGTCGGGTCAAATCCTCACGCTGCCCAATTTCTGCTTCTAACACATCAATTCTGAGGACAAAATGTTCACTTTCTGCCTAATATATCCCACCCACTTCACTTCACCTGTCAGTAGTCATAATGTTATGGCTGATTGGTGTGTATTGAATATATGTGATTGGCTAACATAGTGCCTGGATGAGCAAAAGTTGAGCCAAATTAAAACTTTCTGCTAAACAAATGTGCCAAAAATTAAGTTATAGTTTTGATAGTTTTTCTTCTTTTTTTTATTGTCCACACTTGTTCTGTTATGTAAAACATTTGCCTTTTTTGCTCTCAGAGTATTTTAGCCTGATTTAACTTCACCCACCAACATAGGCTCCCTGTCTGCGTATTCCGGGAGCGGCCATCACTGATACAGCATGATGCGGTGACACTTTCCCTCACCAAGGCGAGCCAGGGATCTGTGGGCACAGACGTCTTCCTGTGAAATGTCACACCCTTCTGTCCTCAACATCACTGTGAATACAAATGACAGCCTGTTTGCCATCTGTGGACCAAGTGGCTCCTCACTCAAAGGGCCAGGGAGACTACTCTGCATACAAGTTAACATGAGACAACAGAAAATACAATATGAATTCAGCCATGGCAGAATATAACTTGGTTTAGGTGATACGTTTCTTTGTGTTGTCAGTGGAGCATCAGATCTTTTGTAAATTCTTCACTCTTGACCAAAGAGGCTTGCAACTGACAGCCAAAGAGAGTTTTATAAGCTCACAGAAAGCCTTCTCCCTAATTCCATGTTTTAATTTAACAGCTAAACATTATTTTTTTTTAAGCTTGGCTAGCCAAGAGCAAGCACTAGTGTCGTCTCTATAATCTAATGATACTCGTCTGAGAGTTTTTAAGTACTCTATACTGGCAGTGTCTCTGGTCTGTTACCAATGCTCATGTTTTTTTTTACACCCTTATTCTCACCTTTATCCGGCATATCTGCTAGTAAGATCAAGGTCCTAAGAACACCTTGTTGTTATTGTTGTAGTCTCTCCTGTGTGTATTGTTCCACTGTCTATCACTATATGCAAAAATATGTCAAAATATTCCTTTTTTCTCCTTTCCTTTTATTTTCATGTAAAAATCCATCCATGTCGCTGCCAAAAGTGTCAAGAATCTTTTGTTGACTCATCCAGCTCTCAGAGGCAAATAAATAATCCATCCAATAAAATGTCATCATAGATTTTTGGGGAGATTCAGCCACCTCTTCCCATTTTACAAAAAATGCAGGTCTGTCAAGCAAAACTGGCTCTAAACGAGCAGGCCAGAGTGCTAATTGGGGTTGATTGATGCGATCCTGAACAACTATGATCACTTCAAATTTGCAGGTTTTTACCCGCCTGCTTTTGAACTCCAAAATCAACTCCCTCCTCACTCCGACCCCAACATCCCATGTCATGTGGAACCATGTCAAATCACAGAAGAAAATTGCCTTTTCAAAGATATTTCATGGGACCTTTAACGCTGCTTCAAATCCCAACAGGGTTACACCTGCAAAAAAATACATACACATACAGTAGGTCTAAGCGGTTTTATTTTCTTTATTTATTTAGTTATTGGTTTCTTTTAACAGGGACAGTGTACATTAATTAAACATTCCTGTAAATGCACCAGAGTTAGCCAAAAGGCTATTTTCCATCTGTTGTCCCTGGACAGATGTTCTAAGTCAACCTAAAAGTAAACTACAATACATGTACAATGTAAATGAAAAAAAAGTGATGTAAAATGTCCTCTAAAGTAGCACATATTATCCAACAGAGGTAATATAACGACTGTCCTGGCCTCACAGACTGCACACCAGTCATCATCAAGGTTGTAAAACCCCTGAAGTCATGTGGAAAAAAACTTTTTTTTTTGCACAACAACAAAGGCACTGCCTTGATTCTGGCTCCAGTTAGCTTCTAGCTAATCCAATCAGCTGCGTGCAGTAGCTTTATATGTAAGGCTGCAGCCAGTAGCCAGTTAGCTTAGCTTAGCATATAGACTGAAATCGGGGGGTACATACATTTAGACAGATGTCTTTTTTAAGTTAAATATTTCAGTGCTTTGATTTCAGTGGTATTTAAATATAATATTAAACATTTAGTGATGATTCAATTTCCCAATTAGATTTGAGTTGAAGAATTATCCTGAATTATCACTGTTAAGTAAAAATGTAAATATAATATGCCCAGATTGTTTGTTTTTCCAGTCTCGACAGACCCCAGAAGGCGAGTTCCTGCCCCTGGACCAGTGTGAGCTGGACGTGGGTTTTGGGACGGGGGCGGACCAGCTCTTCTTGGTGTCGCCTCTGACCATCTGCCACGAGATCAACACCAAGAGCCCATTCTTCGATCTGTCACAGCGCTCACTCATGAACGAGCAGTTTGAGATTGTTGTCATCCTAGAGGGCATCGTGGAGACCACTGGTTAGAACAAATTCTTACTTTTGAATACAAATGGGTTTTTTTTGGAATAAGCTTCCCTTTTCCTAATCACTTTTTTTCATCATCAATTTCCCTGAAGCATATACCATTTCTCTGTAATATAAAATAAAATATTTAACAGAATGTTTAATTTCATGGTCTTTAATTATTCAATAGCACAAGCTCTTCTCCATCTCTGTTGTATTTTTTTCTCTACATATTTCTGTCTCTCTTTTGCTTGAAGCAATTCTCAACTTCTTTTTCTGTTCCCTGTCTGTCTATTCTTATTTAATAGCCCACTTTATACAGTTTACTTTGTAATGTTACAGTGTACATGTCTATACCTTTGTCTCTTCACTCAATCGTAGGTATGACATGCCAAGCAAGGACATCTTACACCGAAGATGAAGTCTTGTGGGGCAATCGTTTCCTCCCTGTCATGTCACTGGAGGAGGGGTTCTTCAGAGTCGACTACTCCCAGTTCCACAACACCTTTGAGGTCCCTACGCCTCCCTACAGTGTCAAAGAGCAGGAGGAGAAGTCCTCGTTGACGTCGCCCAATCCTCTACCTGTTGCACCCACACCCTCCTCCCCTATGCTGGGTAACGGTGGCAGAGGAGCCCGCAGAGAAAGGCTCCTGTCAGCTGACTATGCAGACCACGTAGAGGACCAAGCCTTCAGGCTGCCCAGAAAACTCCAGCGCATGAGCTCCACCAAGGAGGAGCTCCTCTGGAGGGGGCTGAAGACAGGGCCAGCCTTGCCTGGGGGGAAGGCCTCCAGCACAGGAGACCTTCCGCTTAGTATTCAGAGGCTGAGGTCCAGCTCCATCCCGGTCGCGATGCAAGGACAGCCAGAGGAGCAGGTCCAGCTGTTGTCCTTAGATGGAGATGCTGAAGAGGATGAGCTGGAGAAACAGAGACTGCCAGCAGCCATTAGGACCATCACTGCTCCGACCCCACCATTAGTCCAGATCCCCTTGGTAGGGAGTCGGCCAGAGGACAATCTACCCGCCAAACTGCGCAGAATGAATGCTGACCGCTGACTTCTGCAGACTATCTTTAAGCCTAAAAACATTTTGAAAACTAAATCAGGCTTGATGGGCATTGCATATAAATAAGGACTACTGTGATATAAGTTTTATTTTTTCCTGCAACTTAGGGGCTCTATACTAAGTTGTCCATTGCCACAAATAGAAGGACAACACCAATAAGCCATCCATCCGCTCATACTGTGAGTCATTTTTGATAGACCACCATCTGTGCCCCCCCGCCCACTGATTTCTTACACTTTTGCCCTTGTGCTTGTTTCTTTCACTTCTGTTCGTAGAGTTTGTGCATCAAATACTTTATTATCTGAAAAGCAACTAAACTTTTTTCAATTAATCAAGCACCAGTGACAGTCGTGAAAAAGACTCACCTGAAGTTACTGTTTGCAAAACCCCTCCCCTGAACAGCAACTGTCCAATCCCAGTTCAGCAACTGTAACTAGCCGGTCTGTCAAGCTTTGGATTTTTTCACATGCTTCCAGCGGTCTACATTGTACTGTATTAGGATAAAGACCCACTAAAAGTGATGCAATGCGATGCAAAGTTTGCCCCCATTCATTTTCCACGGGATACGAGCGAAGCATTATGGGATTCCCTGCAATGCAGGACTGACCAGCAATGTGAAAAAAGAGAGAGTCCAAGGTTGAACATTTTCAACTTAATGCAAATGAGGGCCGAATTCCAAATTCAGTTGGTGGCTACGCAGTATTTTGCAGTAAAACTGACAAACAAAAAAGCAATGCAGTGCTGGGACAGCACGTTTAGTGTTGCTGCTGTGGAGATCATTATTGTACTTTCTGTTCACTCTTTTTCTTATGTCCCTGGCCTTCAGGATTGCAGTACAAACAAAGTGCTGCTTGGCACAAAGTCACTTAAACTCTGGGAGAAGCTTGTGAGCTCTGACACACCCACCACAACGAGTGAGAGGTGGCAGAGACTAAAGTGCTCGGTATACTCGCCGTTCTCGACCTGTCGCGCGACAATGTGATGTCACGGGAGCGCCGTAACTATTTATACTTGCGCGTGGTGGTTGCGATACTAGTTGCAGTCTTCTCCTGAACAGAGGTGTCGCTACTGAGGAAAGGCTACCGACTTTTGCAAGAAAACGTTTTTTTTTTTTGCTTCAAATCGGTCGTGGAGGTACTTCCAAATTTTCCAGCATATGGCCTCCTCTTTTCCAACATCCATGGCGAGAAATCGCCATGAATTCTGGCACCTCTGGGCATCTCTGTGTTCCTTCATTGAAGGATCGTACAGATCGTCCATCTTCCTGTTTCCGGTTTGTCGCGCTCAGCTGAAAAAAAAAGAGTGGTGCGCGACTGGGCCAAAATCCTGGCGCGCCAGCGAGATCTGCGTCATTTTGATGTCACCTTGTCGCGCGTCAGGTCGGCAACGGCAAGTATACCGAGCGCTTAAGGCTGCACCATATGGTAAAAACATCAAATTGCGATTATTTGGACAGATATTGCGATTGCAATATGATTTGCGATTAGTGTGAGAATGATCAGTTTTGCATCACAAATGAAATTTTCACTGAAAAAATATTAAAATCCCAATGATGCAAAATCTTTTAGGGTCTGTAGCATGCAAACATGTTTTCTTAAATCTAGAGAACAAGATTTGTTGTCCAGGGCATCTCTGCAGCACTACAACATTTCACTATAAAGCTGTTTTGTCACACATTTTTAGCTTTATCAAATTACTGCAGCTTCTGTGGTTTGAATAATTATTAATTAATGCTTATTTAATTAATTAATTAATTAAATTATTAATTGTGTTTAATTGTGCAGCCCTAGCAGAGACGAAGTAGCGTGATTAGGAGCGTATCTATGTTACCCAGGGTCCTATGTTCCCTAACCCTAATGCTAACCTGGAAGGGGAGACATAAGTGACAGAGTTGTGATCTGAAACTACACCGCTAGATGCCACTAAATTCTACAGACTGGACCTTTAATGGTTGGCTAGAAATGAGAAACCTACTTTTACCCACCTGTCTGTGAAATCAAGCACCTTTAGTTTCGAATTTTGAGTAGTAAATCTTCCACCGTTGTCTTTGTAAACTGCATACAAAAGCTTGTCAGGCGTAGCAACAGTAGCTGTGGGGGACAGCAAACTTAGCAAACAGTCAATCAACCTGAATTGGGTAAAACAAATCAAAAACCCTGCTACACAGGTCAGGCTGAAACACTATATTTATTTATCAATTGTCCTGAGTATTTGTTTATGTGAATGCTCATTTGAAGTATGTTTACTACTGTACAATTTTAACTATTTTTACCTCTTGGTGCAGTGTTTGCATTGGCCCGTTATACGCAAGGGTGACAAAATGTAATCACAGATCAATTTTGGACTATGGACTTTCTTTTAACATCAACTGATTTATTAAAATGTAAATCAAATATTTGGGAATGCAGGGATGCTGACATCAGGGGATACATGTATTATTGCTGATATAAAGGAAAGATACTACTTCATATTGCAACTCCTAAATAATAAATTATTTGAAATCACAAGTGTGTCTGAGTGTCTTATTCTCTTTTTTTCTTCCATGGAAAAATGCTGCATCACCATTTCTGTGGGACTCCTGACTGTGAATTCAACACCCTGAGGTATTGCAGCCTGTAAAATGCCATCAGCAGCTTATGTCACCTGCTGTGGTGGTTATACCAACATTCATTAAATATTAATGACTTAAATTTTATGTCAGTTGTTTCTAATCTGAAACAAATTTCAGGAGGGCAAGAGTTCAGAGTAAAGGAAACCCCAGACACAATCTCTCTAGTGGCATTTAAACACTGGCTACTAGATTGAAGTACTTTACTCTTTTGTCTGTTCACTTGAAATCAAAGCCCTTAACCTTCTCCTCTGGCTGCGGCTTCAGCTAATTACTTCAGTTATCCTGAAGCTGGCAGGAGTCTTTCTACCAGCTTGGTCAGTGGCCACTTAGTTAATTTCGTCTTGATTGTGGCTATCAAGATGGTAGGGCTCCAGAGGAGGGCGATTTTCCAGACATTACACAACTGAGGATGTCCAGAGCTAATTAGTCATACTGCAAAAAATAGCACAAAACAGAAATTTGATTATGTAACTCGTTGACAGTACAAAACGACCTCTGTCCAGCTTAAGATAAAATTAACTTAGATAAATGATGGGGGTAAGAATAAATCACAGACCATTCTTCACACAGACATAATACTGTATAATGATGGATTTAGCTGTGAAGAAAATCTGTTTTGCTCATTCCTCTATCATTAAGATATGCTTAGGAAAGGGATTAGACAAATTTCCACTACATTTGCACTTCCTTGGTGGAATGAAGGTCATTACATCCATACAAAGATATAATGTAATGTAATGCAGTAACAGGGGTTTTAATGGGAGCACCCTAGTAATGAGAAGACCAGTTCTTTTACGTAACCTGCTAAACTAACCTCCCACTAGGGTTCGCCGAAGCTCCCTGGGGGGGGGTCACAAGGCCTTCTTGATTTTAAGGGGTGTAAGAAAAACATATGTAGTAGGCTTAGCATTTTGTTCACTTCTGTGAAGGGGCAAGGAAACACTGAGTTTGTCAAAAAAAGAAGCCTATTAACTATGTATGATTGTTAGAAATAAAAACTAAAAATACATAATTCAGACAGATAATTGTATAAAAAGTATGCAAAACAGGAAATAATCTGCTCAAAATCTATCCAAATCATTCCTTTTACAGTAACTTTTTGCAGTTACTGAGTTTGCCATTTGGGTTCATAGCAGATTTGAATATATTATGGAATATCCATAGAATATGCCCCTTAAGCAGGGGTCATCAGTTTACGAAATGATAGAAAAGGGGTCCTTTAAGAACCACTTGTTTAGACAATATTATAGATCCAAGACGAAACTGACAGAAAAGGGTGAGACTGAGAGAAAAATTACATTTCCTTCTGCTACTTAAACACAACAGTTCTTCGGTTCAGTTCACTTCAGTACTTGAATCCATTTCATAGACCCACTGCAGATCAAAATAAGCTTAAAATATCATATGCCAAATGTCTTACAAAGTACCACAAGTAGTATACCATTAAAGTATTGTTATTGACCATAATGTATGAAGTCCATGAGATACCAACCAGAACCAAAACTGGTCTGCAGTTAATGTTGTTGAATTATTGATGATCTTTTCTACAGCCAGAAATTGTAACTGCCCAAAACCATTATTAATCAGTGTGATCTCTGTTTATGATTTAAAGCTCCTTTTCCTGTGGCTTGGCTCCTTCACGTTTACCAGTTCAAGACGTCACATGTAGTCTAAAGTTGCATCACGCCACCATAGAGACAGATGTGGGTGAGGAGCGTGACTCTGTGGGCTCTGTATGCCTGCATGTTTATCTTCGTGCATAGGGAAACACAGCGAGAAGCTCTCAGGAGGAGCACAGCGATCAGATCACACATCCACATTGACCAGATGCTCATCCATAGTCAATGAGCACAAAAAGTGTCGCTGCTCTACAGCACAGCGCCATTAGCTTTGTGAATTGAGAGATCATGGGGATTCAGCGATAACCTCTTGACACGGATACAGTCATTTAGAGGTACCGGTAGCCATGAATAAATCTGTATCTATGAGCTATTGTCACTTTGTTGTACAGTGAGTTTGCTCTAACTGATGAAGAAACCATCAAACCGCACAAGGTGGAATCAGAGTTTCCTTCCCTCTCTTATTGTAAATACACACCGGTTCTTTTGTTCACCTTCAAAACAGACACAGAAATATCACAGTGTATAAAACTTTAACACAAATGTTTTATAATGAGATTATTTAGAAATATTCAAATTGTCATGAGAGAACCTACAGGATTTTTAAAGTTTCCTTTTGATCACCATGAGAGATGGAAGCAGGCATCATTTACTCGTGGTGTCAGCTGTGTTGTGCCCACAGGCTTGCTCTGGGCAGCCTAGGTAAATAGTGCCGAGCTCTCCCCTCCAGAATCTCAATTGCTTTTCTTTATTTGCTTTCTCCCTGAGTCACCATACATCAATTCAAGTGCTCTTTATATCTGTGGTGTCCAGCTAAAATTCCAGACTGAGGAGTTTAAAAATTAGACTCCACAACTCTAAGAGAGAAACGATTCGTGCTGGAAAAATGGTTATTTCAGGATCAATTTTTCTCAGCTTTTTTTGACCTTTACTGGAAACAACTGAATACAATAAAAGAAATGCAATCTTTTCCCACAGCAATATAAAATTATTTCCAAAATAAAATCTTTTCACAACAATGTTTGAGATAAACCTGAAGGATAGAATAATGCAGTTTGTTTCTTTGAGAGAAGGATTAATTAGATACAGTTTAATTAAATTTTTGCTGCAGTCTCACTTTACACCTAAATAGTTCAGCATCATACCACATGGAGTTAGAAGATTGCCTTCTGCTAAAAACTAAACAGCATGATAGAAAAGTTTCTGCTAAATACATTTTCTTCCTGGAAATTGTTAATAATCAGAGAATGTCCTGGCACTGGAAAACTACAAATCTCAGAAGCCTAACACCAAATCCTTTTTTCATAGCTACATGTAGAGTTTATTAAACTATTGATCCTGTTCCCATTTTACAGTCTTTATTGCAGCAGAAGTTATGCAGCTTTTTTAATATATGAAGGGTTCAAGCTGGATGTTACTTTTTCAATAACATAAAAGCGGCTATAATCCATTATTGTTATATTAACAATGATCACATGACTACATGTAATGTGAAAGGGGTCGCTCATAGTAAACTCACAGACATTTATCACCCAACAGAAGCTGGAAAAAGAGGAGGTCATCACCAGAACCCCACATAGCTGTCAGGAAACTCCCTGCAAATACGAACACAGGCTGGAATGACATCTCGTATCCTCGGTCCAATGAAGCCTCAGCTCACAAAGCTTGGATAGGCTAGATGTGTCATAACATATATCTATGGTGTGTCTCTGACTCTTTTTTGGGTCTGGTGAATCCTTATTTTTGCTTATATATTGAGTCATGAGTTATCATGTTAAGTTGGGACAGAACAGTACAGCACTGCATAGGGCAACTGTTTATGAATGACAATAAATACTTTACTGTATCTATAAAATGCCTCATTTAAATTCATGCTTAATCCGTGATGAAAACACTCTGTCTGGGGCATTATTTAACTCTATTTTTGGGTGTGTTTTGTCATTACTGGTGGGTAACAATTGTTCATGCCCAAAACAAGGGTATGTAATTCTTTCACTATTATCTAAGCAGGAGAAGATATTGGATCCTCTTTTTGAGGCAGGTCATGCTTCCCAGGACTACCCTGATTGAAATCTGCTCAGAGTGAGAGCTCAACATGTGCCTGTCTTATTACCAGCCCTGTCACTCCATTACAGAGTGACAGAATCTTATTACATGCCCCTTTTTGGCATCCTAATTGTTTTTTCCCACCAAGACATTTTCTAACTCTCTGAATTACAATCCTACCACTGTGAATAGAAAATTGCTCAGTGCACATTAGCAAATGCACCTTGGGAGTGGCTACTGCTGCTTTGAATGAGTAATTGTCTTCACAGGGCTTCCTTTGCTTTAAATGGGAAGAATCCGGCGGAATCATTTATGGTCTGATTCAAACGGCTACATGAGCATGTTCGTGTCTCTTGTGAAAAGTGTGCTTGTCTCATAAATATTTGATTGATCTTTTAATAAGTGAAGGCATGAGGAAGACATTACTGCTGTGTGACTTTATCTGTCTACGAAGAACACTAGGCAAAAGAAATGACCTAAATATTTGAGGTTAAATGCCTGAGAGCCAGTTTATTACAGGCTTTGGTGGTACAAGGTTTAAAGGATGAGTGATAACTTTGGATGACATTTTCAGTGAAAAACCTGAGAATACAGAAAAGATGTGTCCTCTGCCTCCTTTTGATTCCTGTTGTAAACTCCACATTTGTTTCAAAGTGCATATTGTTCACCATTCACTTAAATAAAACTGCACTCTGTTGCTGTCACTCTCCCACACACCAGGTCCGCTACAAGCCGTGATTCAGGTGAGACCTTCACTGAGTGACGAAGCCATCATTTTCCTTTCTTTGATACAGGGGAAAATGCAGCTCTAGCACTTGACAACCTCAGCCAACTAAAACTAAAAACTTTGATCTTCCAAAAGACCTTGCATTGCTTCTCCCTCTGGATTACCTAAGTAACATATTCAGTAAATACCATGTGGGATAATTTAGTAATCTTCAAAGAGAGGCTCGAGAATGAAGACTTGTTCATGTCCCAGGAAATTTACATATTTTAAGAAAATTTGCATATTTTCTGGGACACGAGAAAAAGTCTCGGGTCTTCCTCATGATTTCCTCCATTTTTAGATATGGCTTTGTCTAGACTGTGACACATGAGATGTCAGTTAATCACTGTTTGTTGAAAATACTACAAGAAACAATGCAAACCTGGTTGCTTTACTACAAATTCCAGTCATACTCAGGTTTATCATCCCACAGCAGTTCAGTTGGCTTTAATATTCTCTACCCGA